AGCAGGTTCCAGGCTCTGAGCTGTCGGCACACAGCCCGATGAGGGGCTTGAACCCTCAGACCACGAGATCATGACCCGAGCCAAAGTCGGACGCTCAACTGAACGAGCCACCCAGGCACCCCTCTATTTGCAGCATTTTAAAATGCATTTAGGCAGGGGCGCCTGGCCGGCTCAGCCAGAGGAGCGTGTGACTCTTAATCTTGGAGTCATGGGTTTGAGACCCACATCGGGTGTAGAGATTACTAAAAAAATCATGAACCTTACAAAATAAAAATAAAATGCATTTAGGGGTATAAAAGGGTTTAAGCCTTGATAAAGCGGACACCCAGCTGCAGAAGGTGCCTTTGGGGACACAGAACCAGGTGTTTGCAGAGGATCCTGTTTGAGCTGAGGACGCAGGGCGTGGGGGGAGGGGGAGGGGCAGGGCAGACACCTTTCCACACCCTCGTGCACACCTGCTGGTGGTGTTACTCTCCCATTTTCCGGGTGTCCCCGCGCCCCAAGTGCCCGGCGCCTCAGCACCACGCGGCATGGGGTTCTCCTGCGGGCTGGGAGAGACGCTTGTCCCCGGGAGTCCCTTCCCAGGGACTCCGACGAGTCCAGAGACGAAGGCCGCGCGGGACCGGAGCCCGGGGTCCAGGTGGAAGAAGGGACCGTTTATCCTGTGCTCGGCGCCCGCTTCTCATGGTCGCCAAGCACTCGGGCCTTTGGGCAGAAGTCCAGCTGTCAGCCTTCAGAAACATCTGAATAAATTGTAACCACTTCCTCATCGGCGTAGCGGCTCAGCCCCGGACAGACGTGTGTTGGCCCCGAATTGTTCCTCCTTATACGACACTGAGTTGTGCAGCTCCTGGCCCTGACTCGCCCCTCGGAGGCGTCACTAGTCCTGGGGCCTGCCAGAGGCCCACCAGGTACACGGACTGACCGGGCGTGGCTGGCAGGTGCCCTGGAAAGACGTTCAGCTGTGCCTCGGGATGGGCAGGGCGGCTAGGTGTTCAGGAGGTATGGAGTGCCCCTCCATGCCACCCCCCCAGGCACCGGGACCCACTCCCACTCCCCCACCCCCAGGCACCAGTGCCCCCCCACCTGGTCCCCCCAGGCACCAGGACCCCACCCCCCCAGGCACCAGGATCCCCCCTCCCCCAGGCACCAGGAACCCCCACCCCCACCAGGCACATGAGAACCTCCTTTGTCTGCTGCAGTCGGTGGGGGGCAGGGGTGGGGTTGTATAATCAGAAAGGTCAGGCTTCTACAGCTCTCCACACACCGCCTCTGGGGGCCAGAGAAAGAGAAGACAAAGGGACCTGTGTCTATGCTGCAGTCAAGTTCGGCCGGGAGAACCTTCCTGCGCGCTTGGCTGTTGGCTCAGGCTCCTTCCCTCTAAGGGGCGGGGATGCAGGAGTCGAATGGGCTCCAAATAGCACGCATGCAGGTGTGCACACGCACAGACACGGGTGGACGTGAGGGACACGTGCGCACACGCCGCACCCCCGGGCGGTGGTCATGGCGGGGAGGTGAGGCCTCGGGCCTGGTGGGTGGAGTTGAGGCTCCCAGGTGGTTGGCTCACGGGGGAATCGTGGTTATTGTCAAATGTTAAGCACAAACGCTCCAGGTAATTGAGGGATTTTGTTTACTTTGAATCCTTTGTGTCTCCTCCTCACTGCCTTCTGGAAGGGTTCTCGTGTGGACTGAGGAGCTGGAGAATTGAGCACAAGAACACAGGGAGGTGATTAGTGAGAGAGGAAGTCCCCAGGAGACCCAGACTCTGAAGGGCCCAGCAGCCCCTTCCCCGGGAAGGCAGACGGGTGGGGGCGGGGAGGGACAGCGGGGCTCTGAGGGCCACTCCACAGGGCAAGGGGACATTCCAGAGCATCCCGGGTGTGTGTGACTGAGGCGGGAAGCCTTCTGGACGGCAGGCTGCTGTCAGCTTGCCCGAGGCGTTAACTAGAGGCTGCCCGGGGCTGGTCTGTCCCCTAACGGACAGATGCCGCGGGATTGAGGGGTCTGCCCCTCACCGTCTGCTCCCTCTGCCCAGGGCTGACGGCTGCAGTCAGCCCTGAGCTCTTGGCATTGAACCTGGACGGGCCCCTCAGCCTTTGTCCATAGAATGTTCCAGCCACCTCTAAGGAGGGGAGGCACCCGGGGGACACGGTGGGCTAAGTGGACTGAAAGCAGGTCCCCTTTGCCTCAAAAAGGTCGAGGGAGTTTACTGTGACACAGAGGGTTCGCACATGCCCCAAATCTGAGCCAGCTTCTGAGACACGGCCAGCTCCTGTGGGCTGTCCCTGTGTTATCGGCAGGGAGCGGGGCAGGTGGCGGGCGTGCTGCTGGCCAGAGCTGGGAGATCCAGTCTGAAATGGCCAGCTGGTGTCCATGGCGACCGCGGGCTGAGCAGCTAGAGATTAGAAATCAGGCGGCTTCGAGGGGCCGGGGCCCTTGGGTTAGCGGAGTCACTGTTGGGCGGGCTACATCACTCACCCAACTCTTGGGACGCTTGTGAGAGTATCGATAACATTAAGGAACAAAATCCAAACGAGTAAATTTGAAGATCGGATGGGCTTTATTAAGCGATTCAAGGATCGGGCAGCGGGGAGCTCCGAGTGGCACAAAATGGAGGTTTTTTTTACAAGAAGGAGAGGGTGGGCAAAGAGTTAACGTCAAAAGAAAAGAAAAGATGGCAGCGGGCAAGGCCGCTTTCCCTTAGGTAGGGGCAGGGCGGGGGTCTGAGGTGGGTGGCGAGGCCCGGGCGCAGAGGCCCTCACTGGCACCGACCAGGCCTTGTTTCGTTTCCGGGACAGGCTGGAAAGCGCACCCAGGTCAGGGCCCAGACTCCAGGTGGGAGACTTGACCTGAGTGATGCCATTTGGGGCTTGCGATTTTCTATTTAACAATAATTACATCATGACAGGCGTCGCCCAAGACCGTCCCGAGCACGGGCGAGCAGGTGGGGAAGAAATGCGGGTCAAACCACCCAGGGCAGTGTGTCTTAGAGCCTCCGGTCGCCTCCCACCGATGCTGCTGTCACAAACCCCATGGACAGGGTGACAAACACTCCTGTCGTCTCAGTTCTGGCTGCTGGGAGTCGGAGATGACGGGGGGGGGGGGGGGGGGGGGGGGGGGGGTTGGCTTCTCTCCCGGTGGCTCTCAGGCGGCCCCTCCACCCTGCGTGCGCACATGGTCGTATCCGTCCAAAAGGTGGTAAACGTGCACGTTTCCCTGACTTCTGGGAGCCACTCTAACCAACTGGAAGAGCCCGTGGAGGAGGACCCTCCTCTCTGTGGCCTGTGGTTGGGAGCACTGTGGGGCGGGGTGATCGTGTGGGGCTGAACCCCTAACCCGTGGCCCCTGTCGCTGTCCCTGGGTGGACGGTGTCAGGACGGAGAATTCTGGGCACTCTCGTATCTGGGGATCGTCTAGTGTTCATTGTGGGGACCCCTCCTCCCACGCTGGAATTGGGTCTGGGAACCTTAAAAAGACCGTAACCCACACGTTAATAAGATGCAATAATACAATTGTAAAATACAATAAAAATGAATTAAAAAAAGGGAGGGAGGAGAAGACATAAAATGCATACCTACATTTTTTATAAAAATAACAGCAGCTTTTAGCATTGTGGTGCTAAAGTGGCTGCTGGCTCTTAAGCATCACATTTACATCCAAGACTAGAAGAAGAAAGAAGAGGGGAAAGGATGCCAGCTGAGTATGTCCCTTTTATCGGGAAAAAGACAGTCTCCCCAAGAAAACATTGGACATCTGCTTCCCTCTCCCGGGCCAACACTCAGTCCCACGGGCTCTTGTGACCTTGTGGGAGCTGGTGGAAGCAGGTGCCTGACTCTTCCGGTCTCTAAGGTGGGGGGCACCAGGGAGGGGCGTTGGCCATGGCAGCAAGTCGCGGGGTGGGTGTTGGCCAGCTTGTTCTGGACGCCAGGGCAGAGCTGTGAGGTTCCGGGGGG